TTAGATAGATCATGAGATCTTTGTTACCCTATAAGATACATGGATTCCAACTATATTGCCTTTGTTAGTTAATGGGTGATGCTGCTAATGAGAGGCTTAGAAAACTTTGGAAATAATAATTATATATCATAAATTATTGAAATTAAATCGGAAAAAACTATACATGAGGAAAATGAAAGAGTTTGGTAACAATGTTGTGGACTTCTGGTTAAATGGCAGGTCATACATAAATATTGATGGATAGGTTTCTGATAACCTTTCAGACCTAATCAACGTTTTCTCTAAGCTTAAATTCTAATTGTGTATAAACTGTATGTCAACGTGGACACAAAACAACTAATTAACGTTTTAAAAATAAGTTGATTTAGCTTCTCGACATCGCAGTCTTAACAACTAACAAGGACTGGACTAGGGAATCATCGGTTAAATAATTTTGTTTCTGATTAAAAAAAAATTAGTTAATAAATATACGATTTTAGTATTTCCCCTTTAATTATGGGTGCAAATGGTTTGTATAAGTAGAATAGGTGGAATAAGCGAGTGAGAAAATGAAGATGTGGAAACATGATTTTTTTTTTGTTCCACTAATTTCTTTCCTATTTGTAGAGGAATGTTTTCCTCCAACTTTGTTCATGTTTTTAACTTTTATTAGTGGAATAAGTTGAATCACTTTTAAAAAAAAAATAACCCAAATGGTAAACATTTAGAGGAATGCTCGATTCCTCAAACTTTGTTCATATTTTCAATTTTTATTAGTGGAATAAATTGAATCACTTTTTAAAAAAATTTCAACCCAAATGGTAAACATTTAGAGGAATGTTCAATTCCTCCAATTTTTGTTCCACTCAAATGGTAAAAATCTAGAGGAATACACAATTCTACCCATTTGTATTCCTGGAATTATGTATTCTTCCAAATGAACAATCATTTGCACCCTATAAATGAACTAAATATTTTATATAGCAAGGTTACAATAGGAGATCTTTTACATTGGTTTTACACCACTTATAAAATTTTATTATGGTTTTGATTGTTGTTGTTTTGCCATTGCGGTAAAAGAATTGTCACTTTGATTTTATTTTTCCATTTTGCTGCTGGACACGCAAAATATTACCACTGAAAAATATTTTTGAGTCGCTAATATTTTGTTGTTTATGATCGCACCATTTTATCACCCTTAAACTTCGTTCATCTTCAATGAATAAAATTCAAATAAAGAGGTAATTGGCATAAATCAATACAAGTGATTTTGTAAAAAAAATATTGACAATTATTAGCGTCTTATGTGGTCAAACATTATGTCTATAAAAATTAAAAAGTAGTCAAATATTTGGTCTCTAAGCACGTCATTAGTTTTTCGCTCTTGTCCAAAGCGGAAGTTTATAGGGTTCGTACTTTCAGGACTAAAAACAGCATCGGACACATTGAATGTTCCGTGAGATACTATTCGACATCTCTCTATTTTGTTATTTATTTTCTGTAAACAAAAACCAAAATAATTTGTAGGTAAAGTTTAGTAGG